AGGCGCTGTGCCGCTGAGCTAAATCCCCAGCCCCTTTTACTTACTTTCAATGAGAAATTTTATCTTAAAATCGGTTAAAAATAAAGAAGTAAAAGTTTTTTGGCTTATTTCTCAAATTTGAAGGAATAGGTTCTTTTGGCTGTAACTTATCTTGAACGAAGTCCAAGTCAAACGTTTGACATCTGTTCACAATATCATTACATAGGTATCTCTTCATGGCCAACAACTGATGTTCTTTGTGCTTTGGTGGCAGATTTTTCGGACCTCACCTGATACCACATTCCCTGAGTCTGTGTGCCTGTCGTCTTCACCCCCAAATGCTCCACCAAGGCAATCAAAGAGACAAGGACAGAGAATGAAGAGACCTGTGGCTGTGTACAATCTGTGTCTTGAGCTGGAAGACGGTAAGATGTTAATTAGGAGTTTCTGCTTGATGCAATATTGAAGGTATAGCATATCATACATCCTCAGGGCCAGCCATGGGCCGCCTGTGTTTTAGTTTCTGTTTCCCTAAGGTTATAATTCTTGAGATTAACAGGGAGGGTGAAACTTGTTTGTCATGGACAAAAATGCAACTTTCAGTTTCGTGTTTCTCTTTGCTATGCATGGTTTTATTTTTCAAGCCAGTTTACATTTCTTTTTTGGGAGACTTGTGTGACCTCCTGTGAGGTTATATAACCCTGAAAAAATGGAAGAGGAGCTAAAATTAAAGCAGATCTTTTAAGAGAGAAGCTGGGAGAGTCTCCTGTTAAATGTGTGTCTAGATTAAGTGCACAGGTCATTACTGCCTTGAAGTTTAGAGCTTCTGCCCTGTGCTTGATCTAGCTGTCAGACTCTCTCATAAGGCAGAACACTTCATCATGTGACAGGGATGACAGACGGATCTCCCTCCCAAGATTGCGCTGCTGTGAGCCTGGCACATGGTAGCTTTCATGTCCCACCCAAGTCACTGTAGTCCAGCTCATTTGTTGACATTCAGCCACATGTCTCAGCATTGCCAAATTGCCCACTTCTAAAAGAAAGCCTGGGCGTCTGAGTTTGCAGTGTTGATCCATGCAAAACAAGAGCATGAGCCGCACAGAGGACACACACTGGTGATTTGTGACCCTGTGGAAATTGATGTGGAGAACAAGGTAACCTGGTCTCCAAACCTGGATCTTCACTTGTATATCTGGAACTCACTCTGCTGGTTGCTTCTCTCAGATTCAGCCCATTTCCAGAACTTGAAATTCATTTTCTTTTTCTTTTCCTTCTCACCCTCACTCATCTTTTTAAAAAACCTCTTCCATATATTACCCTTTGACTTACTAAAGTTATACTGGTTTGGGAGTATGAGAAGCAAGAGGAGAACAAGAAGGGGAACAAATACAGTACTTTCATGGTAGCAGCCATACATTGAAATTGCCCAGTACCTAACATCCAAAGAGCCAGCTGTCCTTGGGGGGGACTCAGAGGTTTTTACGGGAAGACCCAGAACACCCCTGTAGTAAAACCAGGGGTTGAGACCTACTGGTTTATTCTTTTAGATTGCTTACAACATATGCACATGTGAGACATGCATTAGTTTTATAGTTGGATCTTAATTTGCCTGAGAAAGGCATGAATCATAAAGACCAACTTATAATATCAGAGCTTCACTTTAGATACTGGTTTCTGAGCACAGCTAGGTCTTTTTTTTTCTTTTCTTTTTCTCAGTTTCATTCTTTCTCAGCAGAGTTGCTAATAAGGAGTAAAACTGACTGGTTAGAATTGTACCTTCTCTTCCCTCTCACCTGTCCTCTGGTAGAAGTGTTAGTAAATAGTGAAATAAGCAAATGTCAGAAAGTAGAAGGGGGAAAAAGAAATTCAGAAAATACAGAATAATACGGCAATTGGCTGACTATTTTTCATAAAGGATATGACCAAAGATAGACATTTGTCTTATAGTCACATCTACTTTTCTGGTATTCATAGGAATGTAATCATTGTATCTGATCAAATTTATGGAGAGACTAGTCTTTTGATCTCTGACTTGCTAAATCATTTTTAATAGCTACAAGGTATCTGTAGCACTCAGCATATCTTATATGAAAAACTCAAGATGCTGACAAGCCTAGCTGTCTTAATTTCTAGGTAATAAAATATTTTCTCCCCTGGTTTTGGGACTTAGGCTCAGGGCCTTGCATATCTAGGCAAGCCCTCTACAGCTGAGCCACCCACTCCTGGCCCTGATATAGTAATTGTCAAAAAATCCTTTGATTTAAAGAGGGAAAAGAAAAGGCTGTCAAATATTTAGTTCCTCTAGGTTGGGCTGTTAATTATTTTATGGTGTTTCATGTATTTTGTATCATATGAAGACTTTCCTAACTACATTAATCCTTGATTGGAGGAAGTCTTGATTTCTTTCATTCATTCATTCATTCATTCATTCATTCATTCATGTATGTGTTTGTTCTCAGAATCCGGAAAGCCCACCAGGTTTGGTCGTGAAATGATTGTATTTTTTATCTGGCAAGTCATAATCAGAGTAATTAAAAACTTATCCTCCTGTCCGTTACTTGTAGCTAGGCTTTAGTAAAACTCAAGTTGTGTGAAAAACTTATTTCAGAGAGAAAACAAACTAGGGTCTGCATTTTGTTACAGACTTTGATGTTTTGACAATTCTGAAACAGTTATGAGATAAATGGAGAGAGGTAGAGAATACACTTTTGGGGAAAAAAGTACATAGGAAATGGTTACAAAAAAAGGAATTTGTACTGTTCACTGCCACTTAGCATATTGAAAACTATTTCCTCCAAAAAAATAAGCCCATATTCTTGATGGGCTTAAATCCCCCCCCCCCACTTTTTTTTTTAGTGGGCTGAATCATCTGGTTATCAACACTACAAGAAAGTTTCAAAAGTTTAATCTTTTTTTCTGTTGTTGTTGATAGTAATAAAGTAACTTCCTATATTTAGTTTTGTTTAAAATATGCATTATAGATAATGTTGATCATTTTCCAAACATTTTCTAGTTTATATGAGTCTGGTTGAAAATTTAAGTGCAAAAAAAAATTAAGTGCAAATATATATCCACCCTTTCCCTTTACTCATTGTAGTATAAATTAAATTTGACTGAATAAAATGCAGGACAAATAGTTTTTGCTTAAAAGGTTAGAGAGGTTGTCTGCCAGGATTCAAGGAACTGGATTCTAAGACTAGAGATTATCTCTGGCCTTACGATTTGGTCACAGAGGTGGTATTTGAGTGAAGTGGTTTGTGGTATGCTATTTCTTCTTCTATGGTAAGTAGAAGCTATGTGACCATGCTACGTACGGACAGCCAGTCTTGGAAAGCATTCTGACTTGATTTCAGTTTTACCTTCAGGCAGATCAGATATGAGCATGAGCCACAGTAGGATAGGCCTTGAAGCCCAGAGTCCCAGCCACACCACACCATGAAACAGATAGATCCTCTGGTAGTAGATATGAGTTTTCTTTTGTTTCATTGAGTTCATTCCCACTAGGAAAGATATCAGTTTAACCACAAAGGCTTAGTAACTTTATAAGGACTTTAATTGGCATGAGCACAATTAGCCATAATGTGTTTGCTCATTATTTTTGTCATTATTAAAATTGAATTATGTTAGACATATTACTTCCAAAAGAATTCTAGTTATTTATTTAAAGTTCTTTATTGATGATGAATATGAAGTACAACGGTTGTAGTATCTAGCTAGTTTTAATTAAAGCAGCAATGAAATCTACACCAAGGTTCTTGTCTTTTATTATTTTGTACAGTCTGTATTATTCCTTTTCATATCACATTTATTAATCTCATACTGTATGTTTGTGTTCTCTGGGCCATTCCAAATTTGTCTTTACTAACTGTAATGTAAAAAGAGGCTATTGTATTTGTTGTAATTCCCCCAAATCTGAACAAAGGAAGTCCATGAATTTATATGGGATAAAAGCAATCTTCGTTGTTTTTCTTTAAAGACAAATTTTTGGAAAGTGGGTGATATGAGGATTACAATCTGAGGCTTGATTACGTTTTCTTCTATACTAGCTTTAATTTAAGCAAGATTAGAGATTTTAGGGCTAGTTCTTATATGTATCTGTTCTGGTTACTTTTCTCATTACTGGGTCGAAATACCTGACACTCAAAGTTAAAGGAGGAAAGTTTTATTTTAGCTCATAGTTTTGTAGAGGTTTCAGTCCGTAATCTGGCTCCAGGGCAGGGTGCATGGGAGAGGGTTATCGAAGACGAGGAACAGTTCATGGTGTGGCAGGCAGAAGACAGCAAGCAGCAGCAACCTGTTTTCTCTTTTACTCCATTCAGGCTGCAAGCCTAATAGTTGGTAGAACCCACCCAGGGTGGGGCTTCCATTGTCCACACCCAGAACTACCCTAGCTAAATGAATTTAGTTACCAAGTACCCTTAATCTCAGTATCACACACTACAGATCCACATCGAAAAACCCCACCAATGAGCACATGAGGCATTGGAAGGCCATCTAGATATAAGCCACAACAGTATATTCTTATGTATAATAACACACTTCGTACTTGATGTAGCAATTTACTTATTTAGGCAACTTAAAGGATGATTTAACATGCATTGAAAACAAAACTTTTTGTAAGCCACTTCGTAGGATTTGATATTCTAGGACTGGTCTTAGTGTGATTGGGTTGGCACTTTTAACATGGGGATCATGCATTTGCTAACCGCAGCACATTTTGTTGAGTGTGTGTTATTGTAGTCCTGGAGTATGGTAGATATCATGAGGAGGGTACAGAGACTTACTCTGGGTAAATGTCAGAGCATGGTGCTTTCCTTCTGTCCTAAGTAGGAACATCTTCTGATGTGGACCAGTCTCTAAAATCATTGTGGGACAAAGCTGTCATATATAGATGTCCTTTCAGCCAGAACCTTGTCAAATTAGAACTTTGAGTTACTGCCTAACATTTAAATGCCACGTGTCAATGCGAGTAGTGTTGTGATAGAAATGAGCCACCTTTGGTAGGTTGAGAGAATCTGGTTCGAGTTTAAGGCCTGAGGAAAGACAAAGGAAAACTAGAAAGCAGGTCACTGTAAGTCTTATAAATGTAGATTTTTCTAAATGTAGATTTTTAATTCTGAAATACAGAATGCTGTTCGCTGTTCTGAGTTTTTCTGCCTGCAGCGTTGGTGAGTGGCTTCTGTGGTCATGGATACTAAAATTGGAATTGTATCTGTGTATCTCGAAGAGTTCTTGTCAAGTTCCCCATCGCACCGCACAACAGCCTCTGCTTCTAAGGAGTGTTTTTCATTCTCATCTGTTTGCCACCAAGGAGTGAAAATGCACGCACTGTGGAGACAGGGTGGGGAGTGCAGAGGGGACTGGCCTGATGAGCAGAGGCAGGCTTGACACGATCCTCAGTGATGGGTGGGCCCACGAGACCAGG